ATTTGAGTGTTGGTTTCAGTGTATACAACCTGACAACGCCGGATATGCCAGTGATTGCGTTTCATGAAGCGCATGAAGGCGATATCATGTGCCTGGAGTATTCTAGCTCACAGAGTTGTACGTTTTTCTGGTTTATGTTAGTTGTGTGATTTTCTATGCAGCAGCCTACCAAAATTATCTTAAAAAAGACGCCCTTTTGAGGATTATTTTTGACATAGGGGAGCTTTTAAAGGATTTTGTCGGTTGCTTCCGGTTTTTACTTGAATCTTAAATCATGAAAAAACGCTCACTGAAAAAGTTGGAACTACTTGCTCATCACTAGCATCAAAATGCTTTAGTGATATTCCTGAAAATTCCTGTAAAAACATTGTTTTTTTTCAACGTTCACAGACTGGCGATTTTCCTATTCAGAGGGCTGTAGAACTAGTTGCACACATGCAACTCCGTGTAGTGTTTCAAGTGGGTTTTCAATTTTGCTGCTATATCCTCCCTGGATAATAACTTGACAGAGGCTGTTATCGAGCCAGGTATATTCATCTGGAATTATGTCTTCATCGGCGGTCGCCTGAATGTTACAGTCGTCGAGTGGTTCAGGTTTGAGAGAATTTTGAGCTGAATTCAGCCATAGAAGCAGACATTCAGTTTTTGCCGTTTTGCTTATGGGGAGCGTAGTTCAAGCCAAAACTAGTAAATTTTCTTAAGAACTGGAAAGGAAAGCAAAAAAAAAAGAAAAAAAAAAACGGAACAGTTTTGTATGCCGTAGGTTGCGTCTTGTAAAAAGTTTTGATTTATTATTCGTTAGTGAAGAAACAGTGCATACATGTGTGATACAGACGATAGCCAGCTTCTGGAGACGCGTAATCGCATTCAGTCTGGCAGATGAATCTCGCTGCTTCACACCAAAAGCTCATGTGGTATGAAACCTTGGCGAGTTGTGTTTGATTGAGTTAGTTCTTATCGTATTGCGTTTTTAGTACGGTACTTGCTAGCTTCCGGAGGTCGTGATCGAATGGTGCATATCTATGATCCAGAAAATAAGTATTTACCGCTTGCGAGCGTGGACGATCATGCATCAGCAGTCAATTCCATAATTTTTGTTCAGGTTTGTTGCAAGACTTTTATTGTTTTTTGCTTTTACTTTGCCGTTATCTTCGTTGACAAATACGCGGTCGTTGAAATACATTCATAGTTGTACGTCTGTGACAAACACAGCAGTCAGCTATTACTTCATTTCTTTCACGTCCGTTATGCTGGTTCCTCTACAGTTTGCACTATATGTTTTATTTTTTGAATTTATTTTAGTTTTATTAAGTTTTATTTTTAAGTTCTATTTAAATTGTATTAATTTGTATTTAATTGTATTAATTAATTTGTAAATTGTATTAATTTGTATTTATTTGTATTGATTAATTTGTATTTAAATTGTAAGTTTTATTTTTAGTTTTATTATTTTTCTATTGGTGTTACTGCCCGATTAATTTACTCTTTTTTGATTTTAAGCTCTTCACGAGGATTATTGATAATTAGGTAACGGGTCTTCACGATGGGCGGAAGTCGAGAAGACATACTAGATTCTAAGTTACAGCGCAACAGAACATATTTTCATCCCAAACGAGCTGATGAAACATACAGTGCAGCGGCCATTTTTTCCGCCTGTTCATCAATGACGAAAAAGCATTTGACAGTAGAGAGCGAAATGTTGTGCTAAAAACATTTCAGTAGATGAAAGGATTAATGACGATTATGTGAAAATCGTTAAGAAAGCGAATATAGGCTGTTCGGAAGGCAAAGCGCTTTTTCTTACCCCAGTTCCTGTGACAATCAAAGAAGCGTAACTCCGAGCATTTTCCAAGCTTTTCACGGCTTGTCTCGAAATGGTATTTCATAACCTGAATTGAGAAAGTAATCTGGAAATCAGTGGCAAACAGCTGAGCAAATTACGCTTTGCGAACACGATAATTCCCAATACTTCTACTCTCGCAGTTGGAATGACATGCTGCTTGATCTTAACACAGGGATTAGCGAAGTAGGTCGTAAAAATGGTGCATCGAAGAAAAGAGTGATACGAAGTTCCAATTTGCGTGTAGCCAGATTACATTTGTCTG